CACTATAAAAATGCTGGGTTGTTTGAACCCAAATTTGGGTAAAATATGGACAAACCCAAATGTTGTGTTAAAAATGAAATTAAAAAAGTACAGTTGAAAGTGAAAGTTAAAATTTGAAATTACATTTTTAACCCAACATTTGGGTTTGTCCATATTTTACCCAAATTTGGGTTCAAACAACCCAGCATTGTTTAGAGTTTACAATAATAAAAAAAACACATTTTTATTCGCTTGTTGTCAAGGTTGTTTCAGATCAACATCTGCAAGTGACCACTAGATGTCACAGTGGAGAAGGGGGTCGGATTGATTCGAAGCCTCGACACAATATGGCACAACTGTTTCATCAACACATTTTCATCCCAAGACGTCGTCTAACTGACGCTTTTGACCATACGTCAACAACGTTTTAGGGTACCTTTTAACGTCAGTTAGATGACGTTATCCTAGGGCGTCATCTAACTGACGATTTACCTTTAGCGTCGATTAGATGACGCGGGTAGGTTTAGGTCTGGGGTAGGGTTAGGAAACGTCAGATGTTGACGTATGGTCAAAAGCGTCAGTTAGATGACATCTTGGGATGTGATTGGCTCATTTCATTGCTTCACGAAGCCTCGATCTGCCCACCACTAGGGAACACGGGCAAAAGAGTAATCCACGGAACAGGCAATAAATCCAAAAACCAAGAGTCATGAAACCAGGGAGAATGCTCGGAATTGCAGTGTAACACTAAACAAAACTTCGCAGGGAATTAATGTGAAAACAAGGCTATAGACGAATCCGACGAGCGTTCTGTGTAGGCTGCCATCTTGTGGCGACGCCATTACTGAGCTGTTACACCGGCATAGACATATGCACCGGTATGTAAACAAACCTCGGTGATAACGCGAACGCACCCTCGATGACAGCTACAGCCAGGCAGAATGACTTGTTGGTTTGATGATGTTAGACAGTGGCCCCCAGTCACAGATGAAGGTACAAACGATCTTACAGATTAACGTTATTTATGAAAATAGCTAGCTACGCTAACGTTTGCTAACGAGGAAACTATAAAAAGATCTGTCCATTTGGCAACAATAAATAAATAAATTAATGAAATCAAATAAACAAATTCATGTTTTTCATTTGTGTCCATTATTTATCTCATTTTCACATTGAAACGGGCAAGGGTAAGGTAACGTTACAGCTAGAAAGTATACATAATATCGACCAATTAATGTTTTTAAACCATGGAAAGAGGTCAATATAACAGCACGAAAACAATTATGTCACATAACGTTACATTTAGCTCAGGAAAGCCATTTAATGACCATAGCATGTTAATTGAATTGAAAAAATAGCAAGAGAGGAGATTTTGCTGACCACTATATCACATATTTATTATATATTTTTTACTTATGTCATTAAATAATTGTTATTATACGCAAATGTCTGCGTCTTGTACTCGCCCAGGAAATCTGTGTAAACAGTACGGCACCAGACAGGGGCAGTCGACCCGGGGTATTCACAGTGTTTTCTCTTCAAAATTGAAGTTTTACTGCCACCATTGAAACAATTTATAACAGAAGCTGTTTACCCACTCGACATTATACAAGGGATAACGTTGTAACGTTAGTGACAGTCGTAAATCGCGGGCTGTTTATTCCAGTGGACGCAAGTTGCAACTAAAACAATAGGAGGCAATGGCGCAACGCTACCCAGCAACAGCTCAGTAATGGCGCCCCGCTTACTTCCGGTAATTTCGCCGGATTCGGCTTTAACAGGGTGAGTTAAACAAGGTAATGAGACGGATGCAATCAGGGATGATGATGAGTCCAGGCAGAAAGTTATGGGAAATGTACTTTCATTAGGGAATGACAATAGTCTAGGGTTGGAGTGCCCTCTGGTGGTAATGATGGGCACTCTCATTGGTAAACGTGACCCTAAGAAGCCCCTCCTTCTGAAATGTGCAATGAGCTGTGATTGGCTGGCTTGACCAGTGTGATTTGATTGGTCAAGCGTTTTGAGTGTATTTGGGAAATGGCACACCTCTTTACCAACAGGAGGTTTCAACACACTACTAACGCAACTCAACCAGACCTTGACCCCATTAAACTTTTTCAGTTCTTACCTTTTTCCCCACCCATATATATATATATATATATATATAGAGAGAGAGAGACATATACATATATATATATATATATATTACAGTTTTACAGGGGGTTTTTTTTTTACAGTTTTTTACAATCACTTGGACTGATTTCACAATACTTTTCAAAACCCTTTATGCTGTTCTCCTAACCAGCTTACATCTTTGCACAGCAATTAATTTCACTTTTAAAACGCACTGCAACTACCAAAACACTTCATTCATATCTTAAATCAACCCATTCTTCACTAGCAAAGGTTTCATCCAACTAGCACAATGTGTCGCTCATTAACCCTTTACCCACCCCCCTTTTTGATAATTGACATTAAAATGCACTATACAAAACTTAAATGGTTGTAATTCAAGAATGCTTTGGAATATAGACCTAAGTTGGGTCTTGTTTTAAAGAAAACAATCAGCAGATTATTATTAAATTGAAAGCACTTCAAAAAATTAAACTATGAAAAAGTTATGGAAGTTTTAATTTACAGTAAATCAAATATACTTTATTAATATACACTGAAAAATATAATATGCTTTATCTAATCAAAAAAATTGTGGCAACATATTACAAGCAATATTATTAATTAAATTGTACAAATTAGAATTAATTAGAATGTTAATTTGATTAACTATTACTCAATTCTAATTTGTTCAATTTAATAAATAATATTGCTTGTAATCTGTTGCCACAATTTTATTGATTAGATAAAGCATATTCATTTTTACAGTGTAATTTTTAATATGAAATATATATTTGACAAAATATGTTTTACTATAAAATTACTATAAAATGAAAGCTATATATCTAACCAAGTTGTGTTCCAAATTTGAAGATGATATCACAAAAATTGAAGTTCCCATGAGATTTTGTTTAGGCGTAGTACCAAAAATAGCCACCGGATGCCATTGAATTCCATTGAATTTAATTGTATGCATTTTGCCATAACAAATTAATAAAATTCTATCCAAATATCACTTCTGTCACTAAATATGGAACCTTGAGACTCAGACCTTTCTAACAATATGTGTTTTGTCAAGATTAGAAAAGGTTTTCATAATAAATTATGAAAGATGATGCCCAAAAGGGGAGGGGCCTAATAAAAAAAATACCGTTTATATGCTAACGCAACGTCCAATTTCAAAACGGTTTTCAAAGGATGAATTCTGAGTTCGTAAGCTTTCAAATGATACCTAATTTATGATAACTACTAAAATATGTGATATAATAATAATAAAAATATATATATATATTTATATATATAATATATTATACTTTTTAGAGGACTTCTTACCTTACTTTTTAAAATATAATTTTATCTTTTTTTATTGAGAAATGCTAATTATGTTTTATTATGAACTTTTAGCACTAAAACTGTCAAGCTACTGAAAAATGTAGTTAAGTTAGTAGCGTCGCTACTTGTAGTTAACTACTCCCCAACACTGTATACAGCACACACAAATATATTATGTTAACACAGACTTTTATTTTGGATGTGATTAATAGCAATTAATTTTTGCACAGCCCTAATATATATATATATAACCATTACACTTTTCAACAAAGCAAATAAAAATTGTTGACACTCACATACTTTGCACATTATCCACAAGTTTCCGAGGGGCGCTCCTGTAAAAAATAAAGTGGGTGAAACTTCCGGTGAGGCGGCAGAAGTAGCATTCCAATGGTATTTTGTGTGTTAGTTAGCGAAGAGGCTAGCTGTTTTTCGGAGAATTATTTTACTATTTAAAGACGCAAATCTTTATGAGAGATGTCGTTACGGAGCTCAGGGACAACATGTGCTGTTCGCGGTTGTATGTATAGCCGGACTAAACTAATTTAGTGGCTTAAACGTGATTGTTTTGAACATAAGCTGAAAACGAAATCAGAGTGATCCTGCCAACGACTGTAGTTTCCATCACTCCCAAAAGACGACGAATCTTCCTGTGTACATTAGTTTAAATTCTTAATATTCTATAAACTCTGTTCGGCTGTTCGCTGTACACCTAAACTCAGGATCAAAGCCTGTGTTGACAGAATACCAAATGTGCCAGTTAATGTATTCAAGCAGCACATTCATTTATAATTTTGAATAAACTCCAAAGCACAATGACTAAGTGTGTATTTTTTATTTGAATTGTTTGTCAGCTCGCACAACTGTCTGTCACCATGCCTTGATGAGTATTGATTATTAATAATGTTATTATAATACTTCTAATCAACTACTGCGGAGGGTAAAGGTACTGTTATTCACCCTTTTGAATTTCGTTGAGGTTGTGTTCCCACATCGTTAGCTAGTTTGGATCGCTATAACTTGAATGACTGTCAACTGTTGAATGAACGAGTGTCAAGCATGTCATATCGCGCTTTGTTTACTTCCAACCGGAAGTCGCGCCCACTTTTGACGCAAGGCCTCATGGGGCGTAGGAAACTTGTGGAACTTTCTCCAGGTTATTTTCCCGGCGAATAGAGCTGGGGGGTATTCCAGAAAGCAGGTTATGTGACTTACCCGGGTAAGTTTAGGAGTAAGTAAGCGGATAACCTCTGCTTTCAGTTCCAAAAACGGAGGTAACTTTCGGGTTATGTAAGTAACCATAGCAACTGACTCTCTGAGGATAACCTGCTCAGGAGCAGGTTATGTTGCAGGGTTAGTTTGTTTCAGAGAGGTGACGGAGTATGGCGTGCCCTTTTGAAGACAATCCAGTGGATGTGGAACAGATAATACGGATAATATATAAATATATATATTTGTTTTTTTATGTTTTAATGCAGTTATACACTTTAACTACCTTTATAGGTAACTTCAATGGTTACTTGCTGGGAGACAGAGGGTACCCTACCCACTTTAATTAAAACCAGTTAACAGTCAAGTGTTGTTCATTGTTTCTTTATTTCCTGTAACAAAAGACATTTGTATTTATTGCTTTAGATTTCATTCAACAACAAATACTGTTCACATACTGTTTCCCACCTTAAGCTGGTGCTCCAGCAATTCAATTTCAAGTCTGGCCTTTTTTAGGTTAAGCCTTTTCTCCTCCATTTGAAGCTGTATAAGGTCCATCTCCATGTCACTTTTTCTGATTTGCTTTTGAAGGTGGGCCTTAAACAGCTCTTTGGCAGGCAACTAAAGACAGAATAATTAAACATGACTGAAAACGTCTGTAATACAAACACAGACCAAATATTTAAATGAGGAAGGAGAACTGCAGAACATTTCTTAGACCGTTAAGATTCTCTGTGGAGGTAGATGGACCCTCAGCTGTATTAAAATCTCCTGCCATTTATTTATTCTCCTCTATGGACCTCTCCACATTTTGTGTTTCTGTCACAGCAGAAGTGGTCTCTTCATCATCATCCTACAGTGAAAATAAGGAAGGATGTTGGGTCTAGCTAGCAAACAGAAACCTAAAGACAATAATCACTTACAACTGTGACAGTGTGGTGTTGCAGGAGGATCCAATAATACAACGTGGCCATCAGCAACTGCAAGATAATTAAACCAATAAGATAATCATGCATATTCAATACACAGTGTATATTCTTAAAAAAGTACATTAGGAACATCTAAGAGTAAGATTACATGCAGTCAAAGCAGCATGCACACTGCACAAGTGAATCAATGACTGTAAAATGCATTCAAAATGCATTTTTAAAATGGTGACAGTGTTGATAATTTTCTTTATTAGAATACTGACAAAAACAGTAAACACATCAATAAATCATAAGCATTAATATGGCTCACCTACATTTTACTAAGCCACTCGTCTTGGTATCTGAGTCTGACGAACTGCCCCCTGGTACCCCGTCGCCCTTTATTCAGGGACAGTGCCAGCTCCTCAGCTGGGGTGAGGGGAGGCGGAGGTGGACCCCACCTGTTTTACGGGCCTCAGCCTTCTTTCTATTGGCTACATAGAAAACTAAATTACATTAGATAGCTAAAGTACATGGCCTCAGTTTAGTAAGTTTAGAAAATATTATCTTGCAGGAGAATGTTTTTGTGTTTCATTTTGACTTGGTTCACACTTCTTATGGCTCCAGAACCTTATAAAAACCTAACATATCCAATTATGTGCATTACTACTGTAATATTAAGAAATGTATGGAGGCCAACAAGTAAATAGGCTACTTGTCTATTTTTATCATTTAATAATAATTTTTGCCTAATTACAGGGGAAAATAGCCCATTTATAATTTCTTTTAATAATTTATAAAACTCACGCATTTACTCTATCTGTTATTTTTTTGCCAAGCCAACTCTCTTTCTTTTGCTGATGCAGCAGTATTGTTGTTGTTTTTTTTTTTTAGTTATAACGGGCTTGTAGGCTTCAAGCAAGCATTAAAACCTCCAACTTAGTTTCACCGAAGTATGTAGCTCGTTTTTTTGTCCCTTGGTTTCCATGGTGACTCCTGATTTCTGCGATCCATTGAAAATGCCTTTATGTTCTTGCCGTGCGCGCGCATTAACCCTGGGTTACCAATAGGAGGTTGATTAAACTAACTCCTCACAGGTGTTTTGGAACCGACATACCCAGAGTAAGCTAGTTTGGGGTTAATCAACCAAGAGTTCAAGGTTTATCTGACGGTAAGTTAACCTTGCTTTCTGGAATACACCCCAGGCGTGTGGGGTCCGAGTCCGACATGCATGACGTATTTGTTGCCTTTATCCAATAGCGTGCGTGGGAAAGTGTTGGTGTGTTGGTGTTGGCACACGTGATGTGTAACATTAGAATAAATCCCATTGGTTCTCGTACGTCGAGCGAATATGCTTGAGCAGTTTACCACAACTGATAGGCTACGTGAGTTGATGAATGTTAATATGTAAATAAGCCTGAAAGAAGGTACAAACAGTATCACTGTCTGATTGAATCAAGAAGCAGAGGACATTCTGACAATGTGTGTAAAATTTTTATTTGTATTACAGAAACCCTCTAAATCAGAGAGCTGGTGAAGCCTTGTAAACTGTATTGTAAACATGAAAGGTTTATTAGCATTTTAATGTTGAGTTGGCAGAACTCATAAGATGACCACGTTATTGCAGAGGTCCGAATAGCAGCATTTGGTCTTCATGGCCGTGTTGATCTGGAGAACAGCGCACTCTGCCTTACTGCTGCACCTCCGAAAGCCCATGACTAGATCAAACACAAATTATAAAAGCAGTTTATGAACATCATGACTGGATGGAATCACAAAGTGAATATTTATCTGCGTATAATGAAATGCAAAGAATCAAACTACAGCTGCTTATTGGTAGTTATTTTTGTTCTTTTTTAAGGTTTTAGTTAATAATAATAATCCTATTTTTCCTATTTTATAAAAGTTTACAAAATAAACTTTTTTTCAGGACATTTAAATGCATTTCTTAGAATGAAACTGACAGAAAGTTTCAAGTTTAAACTCACAGGGAGGGAAGTTGAATCTGGCCGCTATACAGGCATCTTTTCCAGCGCCACAGGTCTCTTGAGACGGCATGCAGCGTGTTCCAGACTGAGGAACGCAGTGGTGGCATTTCAGTGCACATCCTGCGATAGATTATAGCACACATCAGCACTGATGTAAAACTTTTTAAAACCTCTCAGAAATACTAACAGTATTGCGAAATTTTTGTATGGGAATTTTTCAGTGACAACATTGATTATGTTGTATCAATAGTTTGCACAGTCAGATTAGATTAGAAACATTGTTTTATGATCTGTACACTCTTAGAAGAAATGAAATGGTTCCATCCCCCGCTTGGAACTCCAAAATGGTTCTATATGAAGAGTTCAGATGCAAAAGCCTCTAAATGCCATTTGAAATTTTCTTCTTTAATGATGATTTTTATCAAACTTGTATATTTAAGTTCAGTAATTTCACTTAAATAACAATTAATAGGTAATTATCATTGCCATTTAAGTTAAATCATTGAACTTAAATTTACAAGTTTGATAAAAATCATCATTAAAGAAGAAAATTTCAAATGGCATTTAGAGGCTTTTGCATCTGAACTCTTCATATAGAACCATTTTTTTTGGTAAAAGGTTCTATTGGCCAAGTATGGAACACTAGGGTTCTATATAGAACCCAGAGGAACCGTTTTTTTAAATAGTTTATAGAACCTTTATGGGGTTCCAAATACGTAGAGCTGATAGAACCTTTTCAGGTTCTATATAGAACCTTTTCTTCTAAGAGTGTAGAACAGAAACTGTTCTAATCTTCATTTGGAGCCAGAAACAGCAGTGATGTGACAAAAATTCAGAGGTTTTATTTTTCAAGTCAGTAGTGTACACTTATAAATCACATTAACATACATTAACATACTCAGTAACATACTGAGACAATGGTTTACGTTTTATTTTATTTTTATGTTGTTATTAAACTTCAGCAGTTTTAACTCACCATAGTTCAACACCAGAACAAGAACAGGAGCCACCAGCAAAGTCTTCATTATTATGTTGATTAGAGCTGCTGAGAAAATAATAATTATTACAAAACTCAGTAGGCCTATCTGTTAAGAATTAAGAAGAGTATGTCTGTGGTGAAATTTTGATTATTGGCTGATCAGCTTCAGTGATGCTTATAGCAAACACAAACATGCCGTTAAAGGAAAATGAACTGTACTCTGCTCTTGCATGTCAAGCACTGTAAGTGTTACAGCTTTGAACAAACCCATCACCGTATCTATTGCACTTGATTTGACATGAATTATTCCTCATTTGGTGTGGTGTAGCTTACATTTGCACCAGGCAAATTATAAAACATGTGTTAAAGCGCTTTACAGACAGTGTCAAATTATACAAAAGTGTTCAATTGTATCCTAAATAAGTTGAAATTTAGACAATAAATCTGTGCATCGTTAAATCTCATCTCTAAGGCTAAAGTATAGTGCAAATAAATAATGTGTATTGTTTTAGGATAATGCTGTGAAAACTTACCTAAGTGATGTATTGAGAGTTTTGTAAGTTCATAAGCACTTGTGTGTATCTTGTATCTCTTATATAGCACTTGTCATGTACTCAGAAGTGAATCATTTCCAGTAAGGAATTCCCTGGGGAATGAAAGAGTTGGAACATTGTGTTAAAATGAGGCCACAGACAAGGCTCAATAACATTTGCTCAATGGTGTATTTGATCATTGTTTACTCATGCATTCGCTTCCGATCTTTATTACTAATTGTACAATGCTATTGTGCAAGATCCTGTTCTGTCCTGTTCTACTGCAATCAACCACTCTTAACTTAAATATCTATCTGCATTTTGGTATCAAACACAATGGTGGTGCAAGCCCAGAATGGCCATCGGGAGCATCGGGATTCTCGTTGGCCTTTTTTAAAATTATATTTCTTTATAATATTGCCTGTCCAATGTACCAAAGTGATTACGAATTCGGCATTCAATAATAAATCGATAATAAATCATGAATCTGTTAGTCATGAGTAGCAGGCGCAACTGCACAAATAAATACAACAGAACAAAGATGAAACAAATTAAATGAACACGGCTTTAATATTTTCAGGTTGGTCTAACAGTAATTAAATAATCAAATGTAAAATAACACTGCATTAGATTAGATTCTTTTTAATTTTTGCAAACATTATTTGGGGTCAAAAACACCCAGAATAGCGTATACAGGTTAAATAATGTAGCCTACAAAACAATGTAAACAACTGTTAAAAATTCCCCTAATTCAACTTAATTTAAGTTCAGTGGCTGCCTTAAATTAGGTATAATAAAACTGGCTGTATTGTAATCTCAATCATTTAAATAAAAATAAAAAATAAAAAATCTTGCCTCTATAGCTTAAAATATTATTTTGATGTGTTAAAGTAATGGAAAACCATTTGTTGTCGTGATTAGTGATCAAATGTGTTTTTACAGTCAAAATGTTCTTGTATATACCCTGATGGGGATTTATGTTGAATTAAAGCTGCAAGCAGCGATGGGCGGGCCCTCGCACCTGTAGCATGTCGGGGTGTGAGGCGGCCGCGTTTCATTTTCTGCAGCTCAGCCAGTGCGGCTGTGCATTTGCCACACTGCTTCGTTAAAGGCCACTTCCTGTTGCCAGCAGGTGGCGCTATGACTGTGGGTGAATGTCGGCATGTAGATTTGATCAGGGCGGGACTCTTGTCAAATGTGTTAAATTTCGTGCAGATCTGGGCATTTACAGCCAAGTTACTACAACTTCCTGTTTCATGGCGAATCATCGACGCCACGGACACGCCCATCGACGAAAACGCGCAGATAGCACAACTTTTCATCGTCAATGCCTTTAGAAGGCACAGCAGAAATTTGAAGGCGATCCGACTAAAGCCCTAGGAGGAGTTAGTTAAAGTACGTAATGAGTAAATCATCCAAAAATGGCGGTAAAATTAGAAATGGCCGACTTCCTGTTGAGTTTAGGGCATCGCTCCAAGAGACTTTTCTGTGCGTCTGGACATGGTAGATGTACCACAGAAATTTCGTACATGTCGGTCAAACATGCGACGGGGGCTGCTTCGTTAAATGTCACTTCCTCTTGCCACTAGGTGGCGCTATGAATGTGGGTGAATGTCGGCATGTAGATTTGTTCAGGACGGGACTCTTGTCAAATGTGTAAAATTTCGTGTAGATCTGGGCATTTACAGCCAAGTTACTACAACTTCCTGTTTCATGGCGAATCATCGACGCCACGGACACGCCCATCGACGAAAACGCGCAGATAGCACAACTTTACATCGTCAATGCCTTTAGAAGGTACAGCAGAAATTTGAAGTTGATCTGACTAATTCCCTAGGAGGAGTTCGTTAAAGTACGGAGTGTGTAAATCGTCCCAAATCGGTCGCCGAATTCAAAATGGCGGACTTCCTGTCGAGTTTAGGGTATGGGTTCTTGAGGCTTTTTTGTGCGTCTGGTCATGGTAGATGTACCACAGAAATTTCGTACATGTCGGTCAAACAAGCAGCGGGGGCTGCTTCGTTAAAGGTCACTTCCTGTTGCCAGCAGGTGGCGCTATGACTGTGGGTGAATGTCGGCATGTAGATTTGTTCAGGGCGTGACTCTTGTCAAATGTGTAAAATTTCGTGCAGATCTGGGCATTTACAGCCAAGTTAGTACAACTTCCTGTTTCATGGCGAATCTTCGACGCCACGGACACGGCCATCGACGAAAACGCGCAGATAGCACAACTTTACATCGTCAATGCCTTTAGAAGGCACAGCAGAAATTTTAAGTCGATCCGACTAAATCCCTAGGAGGAGTTCGTTAAAGTACGGAGTCTGTAAATCGTCCAAAAATGGCCGCCAAATTCAAAATGGCGGACCTCCTGTCGAGTTTATGGTATGGGTTCTTGAGGCTTTTTTGTGCGTCTTGATATGATACACGTCCCACCAAATTTCGTGCATGTAGGTTGAACGTGGACGAGGGGCTAATTTTTTCCAATTTTCTAGGTGGCGCTAGCGTGCCATTTTGCCCCGCCCATCTGCGAAACCCACAAAATACGAAATTTTTCACCAGTCCTGACATGCGTGCCAAATTTGGTGAGTTTTTGAGCATGTTGCGGCCCCGAAAATGGCGCTTACTTTGCAGAAAAAAAAAAAAAAAAAAAAAAAAAAAAAAAAATAACCCTAACAGTTTCAATAGGGTCCTCGCACTGTTAGTGCTCGGG